CAACTAGTAGTTCTACAGCATTTAAAAAGAGCTGGTTTTCATGCGCGCAATGTTATCACATTTTGATGAGTTCTGAGAATGGAGACATATGTGTTATGAATCCTCATTGCATTTTTTCACGAAAAAAAAACAAACAAAAACAAATAGCGATGGATGGAACTCAAGAGTGGAATAAAATAATTCCTCCACTTCTGAGAGTATGCAATTTGAGCTACGGATGAGCTAAAATAGTTGTAGCATCGCGCCTTGAGATCCTGATTTCTATCATGAATCCTCATTGGACGTAGAAGTGTTAAATTAAAAGAACTAATTGCCCTTTCGGTGGAAGCTGCACTGATAAAAATATTTGTGTTCTTGTGTTACTTTTGGTTAATATAGGAAGTAGAACACAAACCAACCTATATATTGTGTTGATTTTGGTACAATTTGCGGAGAATTCAGTGCAAAAATCAATGGAGAGATTGGGAAACCCTAAGTAAGTCAACCGAAAGCTAGGGTTATTTTGTCAGGGTATGTCTACCAGTTATTAAAAACAAAAATTGGGGACTTTCGGGGACTTTTAGGGGTGTTTTTTCAAGAAAATCGGGGACTTTTTCCCCCGAAATAGTAAGAGAAAGGGAGCTAGCTAGAGCGTTAAAAGGCGTATTTTACACGACTAATTTTTTATGTCATGTTGAACTGATGAAAACATACGAAAAACCAAGCAACACTTCAGTTTTTTTATTCCTGGTTATACCGCGCCGCCGAAAATTCCGGTGTCTAGGGCGTTTTTTGTCAGTTTTTGGGGACCCGAACAAGAAAATTGGGAACTTTCGGGGATATCGGGGACACTCTTCCAAAATCGGGGACATTGGGGACTTTCGGGGACCAGTAGACACCCTGAGTTGTCTCTCTGTGTGTCACGATGTGGCAAAAATAAGGACGATTTCGTAGCTACCGTCTCGTCGTGAAGACACCATTCACCGTTCAAATAGAGACGAGACACTTGGAAGGGGTCAGGGGACGGGGAGGATTGGCACCNGGGGGGGGGGGGGGGTGTTGGAAATAAATGAGCATGGACGAGAGAGAGAAGTGAAGGAGAGCAGACGAATAGGATGGCTTCAAAACCGTGCAAAAACTCCCAATGCATCTACCTACGGGTCGGAGCCTTATTTTCGGCAACTCGGCAGCGGCGGGCGTAACTCTTTAATTCGATGCACATGCAAATTGATAGGAAGACCGCTGCGCAAGGCAGACACATGGGCGCGAGCTCGCCAACTCCAAGTTCGCCAACGGTTGAATGGCACTCCGAACTTTTTCTTTGCGGTCTTTTGGGGGCGGGGCGGGGGGTGGCGGCCGGGAGGGGGATGAACATAAGGCTGCCAACTTTTAACGGTTTTTCTCACGAGATCTCAAGACACATCCCAAGACACGCAGCCGGCGGCCATGTTTACGTCAGACTCAAACAAGATTACGACAGCATGCGCGAATTCGAAACATTTCAATCGTTTCCAGTTGCCCCCCTCCTTTTCCTCCCCCCCCCCTCCAAATGGGAGAGATGCATTTAAATTTTGGTTGGAAATCGAGTTCACTGCCTCTGCGTGCCATCATCCGGGCTAGGAGGGATCTCTAGCAATTTTTGTTGTAAAATTCCCACAAATATCACCCCAAAAAATCTCATAGAAGAGGGAGGCACGCAATTTAGCGTGGATAGGGTTTTTCCGCTCTCTCCGGGGTGTAGGGACTTCACCCCTAAAGTTAGTGCTACACCCTCGCCCTCTCCAGAAATTTTCAAGAGCAAGGAATTTTTCCAAACTTCTTCTCTGAGGGGATCTCAGTGGCCTTTTCTGCCTAAAAATCAGTCAGCAGAATTCACACGATGGGAATACGAGGGTTGCGCACGTTTCCATTCCGCCTTCAATTCCCGGGGTAGGCCAAATTACATCACCCGAGCAGCAATAATTGTCTCAGGCCCCTGTCATGAGTTTTTGACGTTTAATTTTTGCCTCTTGGTGCGTTTCGTACCCCGCATGACAGTACTTAGATGCTAGCTATGTTTTCTTCCTCAAGGTATGATATTCGATGGTGTATAGGTACCTCGGTCCTACAAAATATTATTGAAAATTCACTCTCAATTTCTCTGCGGGAAAAAAGTGCTTCCCTTGAGTATTTCGCTGAACGAAAAGTATTTGATTATTCTGGAGCCCCCAAGTTTTATTAGATCTCATAGATGTCATCAATTGAAAAACCCGTACTTAAGCATTACATCTCTCCTGCGCGAAAAAACTCTTGACTAGGTTCAGGTCTCTGGTCTGACGTCATTAATCGCCTGGTTATAACTCAATTACCGGGGTGAAAATATTCTCATGGCACAACACAACACACACCGTGCCGAAGATCAAGGATAGTTGCATGCCAAGAAACTGTTTGATGAGCATAAACACTCACGGATATAAAGCAGGCTAATACAAACAGATCAAGCTTCGTAATCAATGGGCCGATTGAAAACACGAAATGAGAGTGGGAGCGAAGAGCAGACTTCCCACCGTGAATTTTACTCTGAATTTCAACGAGATGTAAATATTTCGAAGCAGGGATGAAATATTTTAGAGCCATTTCTTGGTGAATCACCGAAATACTCGGAGAAAAAGGTGAGCCAGAGAGCAGCGATGCAGAGCTCGCATGCACGAGCAAAAATTTTACTCCTTTTAAAAATGCTTCATAAACTTGAATTAATGGTACCTGAATAAAACCATTTTCTTTTGGCGTGGAAAATTGATCTGAAATTGACAAGAGCTGGTGCATCTTGACGTCATTCTGCCATATTTTTTTCCATTTCAACATGTGTCGTTTAACAGAGTAGGCCAGTCTGTTATAAATATTTGGACTGCTTTTAACAGAAAGGAACCAAGCCACGTCAATTATTGCCAAAAACTGGGCAGTTAATTTTTTACGAGAGATGGTTTGTGCAGATTCCTTTGGAAATTTTAAGGAATATGCTCCGTACTACGGAGGAAATTCACTGAAATTTACACATAAATCCGCAAAACCGTTTTCATTTATAGTAAATTAAATTCCTTGATTAAATTTGGCGGCAGCAGATGTGGCTTGGTTCCTTTCTGTTCAACGCGGTCCATTTACTCGTGATCTGATATTTGGACGTCATTCCGGGCGGATTTTTTGAGGGTTTTATTGGAGTGCGATTGATTTAAAGCGCCCGGTTGGGAGAAATTTGAGGGATATACACTAAAGCTGCTAGGACTCAAAAGTACCAAGAAATTTGTTCAAAATTTAGGGTCTCTCTCATGGCATTTTAAGTAGGGATTTTCAGTACTTTCCGCCTCTTTGGTTATTACTAAATATAAAATAGAAAAGGGAAGAAAAGAATCCACAAGTTCTCTCGTTTCCTTCGGTCAGCGCAGTGCCATGTAAATTACCGCATTTAACGTATTCTAAAATAATCATTACTTACATTTTTCGAAAATACTATTCCTTATGCCAACTTGCTGCCAACGATGGTAGCAACTAATTCGTTAGAATAAAGCTTTCCTTCAACTAATAAAAATAAAATGGGAATTACCGATTCAAGTTTGAAAATTCGTAATTCACGCGAGAGGATACTTTTCAGATTGCGATTTTGCTGGTGTATGTAATCAAATATTGCCTATTGATTTCGAATGAAACCTAAAAAAAGCCACATGATGCCAGAGAAAAAGTGGATACGGCACGAGATAAAGATAGACATCTACCAATAGGTTCACACAGTCGTTTATTGGTCCGTCCTAGGCTCATGACGCGATATAAATGTGTGTTCATCGAATAGGTAACTATTCGCACACCCCGGTACGTTTATTGCCTATGCGCCAAAATTGAAGGCGAACCTCCAGGCTACGTACGCTATCGGTAAGTTGACGCAGTGACGCACGGTATACTGGTAAGTAACTTTATGGATCGAAATTAATATATGCGTTTTTCGAATAGATCCGAGCATGGGTAGATCCCTTCTAGGTACTGTAAGAAAAATTGGGTTACATTGCGCTTAATTATTTTGGCCGAGGTAGCCTATATGAAAAATTATTGTTTTTAAATAGAGTATAGAGTACTCAATCTACCAAGGCCCAGGTTTTGAGTATTCAACGCTCAGTCCTTTATTTGAGGAAATATGATTGAGGAATTGTTTGAGTTAAAATACAATGCACCTTCAAGTCATTACTTAGGTATCATGAGAACCAATTTTGAAAAAGTTCCTCAATTTTCTTCTCGTTTGTAACAAACAAAATTGTTGGAGATCACATTTTTCCAAACAAATGCAATGATTTTACTCTGACTCCCTCACCTCTGCCTCACTGAAGGTATCCGTAGCAGGGAAAAATCACAATATCGCTGTAATTCTTCTAAAACTATGAGTGAATTCTGCTTTTTCCAAACCGTTGAAATATTCAGGTTCATCTTGACATCTAGGTGGATATGAACAGATACTTCGATGAAAAGTTTCTTGACATGCATTCAGATACCTTGTCCTGTCATAATATGAATGAATTGACAATGATCCAAAAAAATTCTTTTTTCATGTAAAAACATTACTTAGATACACGAAAAAAGTTATGTTTACACGAAGGAGAAATTAAGATATACCTATTGAAACTTAATCCAAGATTTTGCAAGAGGTGAATTAAATGAACTTCATTGCATTACATCATGCACTACTGAAAAATAACTAATCCTTTTTTGTTAATAATTTCAAAAATATTTAACCCAAATGAACTTTATTGTGTTCAACTTGCCAAAAAAAGAATCTTATCTTCGAGAAGATTCGCCAATCTTTCTCCTGGAAACTATGAGTACTTAAAAAGAAGAAAAAAACTTGCCTGGAGGTTTTAATTATTTCCTTCTTAAAATGAGATAAAAACTGGTTGGGTTTTTTACCTCATCTTTTTTCTCCAGGCAGTATATAGATAAGTAGAAGATACTGAGTTCCAACAAAATCTTAATCATAAGAGAGTTTAATTTGTGTAGCATACCTGAGGCGAGGAAAATAAAGCAGCCAAGCTGCTTTAATAAGTTAGCAGTGAGATCCATTGTAGATGAATCCAAAGAGGTAATCCAAAGAGGTAAAATTCACAAAACACACATATTCAGCCTCGCACAAAAACAGACGAACGAACAGCAGCAATAATTTAATTCAATCCGCAAAGGAAAATTTTAACACCAAATTGCACAGAAGCACTTGATGAAAAAGAACCACTTCACTACACTCTGGCACAATCACACGCACGGTAGCACTAAAACCTGCAACAAAGAGAAAAGAGAATTAAAACACTATATATCTAACAAATGTTTAGGCAAAAGAACTGAGCAAACAAACATCAATTCATGTGAGTAACCAGCTTCATCAGCAAATATGTAATCGGAGAAAAACTTTTTATGTTATTGATAATAGTTTCAATAATTACAGTATAGTTTAGCTGTATTTAAAAAACTTAACAAGGTCCTCATGAAAAAAAGGATACCAGGAGTAGCTGAACATAACTCTAGCCTTGCCTGATTCAGTTTTTCCCTCTTAAATTTTGAAGATTAATTCGGATGCTATGATATTAAATTGCTTCTGAGAGTTATTGGGGAATGTGAGCTGACGGATTCCGATGAAAGACGAACTATAAACAAGTTAATCTCCTCAAAACTGCGAACGGCTAATTTCCACTCATGATTTTTAACATCATGTGTGTTAACTAAGCAAATCTTTTGGACCTGACAATTATCTTAAGTTTAAGGACCCAAAATATTTCTTATCACTTGGTTTTACAGTGATATAAGTCACGACACTTCCGCTTGATAGATGATCACATTGAGCGTACAGAGAGGGATGAAAATTTTCTAAAAGAATATGAGTCAATTTTCAAATGAATGTAAATTCCAATTTTTATTGCCGATATAGGAAGTTGAGCCAATCAATATCATTCATTGCTACCATTACATTGGGTTACATACCTAACGGAAATGTCTCAATGGAAGTTATAAACATACTATCATTAGGGGTGAAATATTCCAAAAATCCTATGAAAGAAGCATGTTACTTAAATCAACCCCACAACGGAGAGATAATTAAGAGATATAATCCGTACCATGACATCAGGAAGGCATAATAACTTAAACTAGAACATTGAGAGTGAGAGTGAAACTTAAGGGTTGCAACCCAGACATTAACCCCTGCAGCTTGTTGATAAGCATCATGAGCACCCTGATAACACCTTTACAATTAACAAAATAGACGAAACTTAACAGAAATCCAACATAAATGCTTCACTTAATTCCCAAATTGGTGATAATTGATAGGGAGTGCTGATTAGAGGATGCTGCAGCAACCTTAACCCTCCCAAACAACACCCTATTGTAACCAAATTCATCTCCCACATGATAGCATTTGAATCATAAACAAACGTTTAAACAGAACAATTTGATACCTTCGATTAGGAAATCGAGATGGAAAATCGTTCGGTAAAAATGTAATTGCTGTGAAAGGCATAAAACATTGATAAGCGAAGTTTCAAAATCAAAAATGTCGTAAGGGTTGATCTCAAGATGCTCGACCCCTAGCAGAGGGGTGTGAGAGATTCATCAACCCCGAAGCTTCACGGCTGCATTTCAGGCCAAGGAACTTACCACGGGGAGTTATCCAATTGGATGGCGAGCATTACAAATCCCAAAGTGAGAGAAACACCGGATTAAAATAAGAATTATTAATAATCCACACAGCACCGTAAACAAAACATCACACGCGCGGAGCTCGGGCCCGAACTGCTTTCCGCTTCTCGGTCTCGCATCACTATCGACTGTGGGGGACTAGTCCGACTGGCGGAGCCGCGTGCGTGTGTGTACGGGGCGGTGCGTGTGTGTGAGTACTTTGTTGACAACCCGAACGGGGGTGAACTCCGCGCTGCCAACCTTCGCGCGTTGTTACTGCTCGGTTTCCCGTCGCACACTTGCGTTCAATCCGCTGACCTTTCGCACTCGCGCTTTTTTTTTCACTCGCATATTTTCCGATTAGCGATTTTCTCGAATAAATTAATGACGACTCCTTGCTATTCTTATCGTTACTTCTATAATATAAATTCTTAACCGGGCGTCTGGTGAATTACGCGCTTACGAAAGTGCATTTCCGTCTCGTGGTACGGCTACTTCCGCTCATCTCACTGATGTTTCCTGTGCGCCTTTACGGCTGGATATTTAATTTGGTGCATGAGTCAGCGCGTAAGGGGGCGGGGAGCTTATTAGCCTGTTAAAATGGGGATAAACCGAGAAAGTGAATGCCATCGCACCCTTCAAATTAAAGGTAGCGCTTGCTCGATTGGAAAATTTGGGGCCTCTTTTAATTTTATCTGGCAAGTAACTGCATGCGTCTACTTCATTCATTTTCCGCTTTTTCAATCAGTTTTCAGGCCCCTGGATGCAAATCGAATGCAGAAAGTTTTAGGAATACTCCTACGTGGGTACTAATTTTCAGTATTATTTTATGTACCATGAGCTAGGTACTAAAATTTGACTATGTTGTTACATATTGCACATAGTTTTTAAAATTTTATCGGCACTACACAAACTAATTGATTAACTTAAAACTTTTTTGCTATATAATCGGTTTTCAAAAAAAGTTTCAAGTTAATCAAATAACTAAAATTTGGATGTTTAAAATTCATTTCTAGAGGAGGTAGGTATGGTATGCTCTGAAGTGTCAACATGCGGACCACATTATTTCATCGGATAAAATGTTTTCATTAAAAAATTTGGCGCTTTTATTTTAAGTTTCATTTTGTACAAATTATTGTCCTAATTTTCATAAATTGTGTGTTTCACAATTTTCATTTCTTTTCATAAAGCTAGATCTCAAAGGTACCTAATTGGACTTGTAATGATGTCAAAAATCTCTACTCCACCTTTTTGTATTTTTGCTACACCATCTTCAATGCTCCCAATGCTCCCCTTCTGATGATTTTGACACGCTGCGACGTTGCCATTTTTCTGAGCAGAATCGTGAATTTCGACTTATTTCAATATCATCTTTCTAGACCTAAAAAAAAAACTCAGGAGCCATCGAAAAAGTGCGCTAAAACACGGTGATTATACCATGAGTATCTTCTTTGAAAATTTGGACCCTGTAAAATGTTTTACTCGGCGTGAAGTTACCACTTGGCAAACAGTGGTTGATGGTAACAGTGAAGTTTCATACGGTAATGCGCCTTCAATTACATTGGATACTGTGCAATACTTTCATGGTGGAATAGTTGCATTGGCGCCTACAAACCTAACAGGGATACTTCACTCATTGCGCAATGCATGCAGTATCCCTGTTAGGTTTGTAGGCGCCAATGCAACTATTCCACCACGAAAGTATTGCACGGTATCAAATGTAATTGAAGGCGCATTAATGTATGAAACTCGACTGTTACCGTCATGGTGTTAGGGGGTATTTTGTAACGAGGAACTTGAATCTCAACTATTTTTCAAATTTTTAAAATTCAAAAATCCAAAATGGCAGAAATTGCCAAAAATGTTATCTTAAGACTTTCGAAATCTAAGACGGTTGACTGCCTGACCGGTCAGGCAGTATGGTAACTTCACGCCGAGTAAAACATTTTACAGGGTCCAAATTTTCAAAGAAGATACTCATGGTATAATCACCGTGTTTTAGCGCACTTTTTCGATGGCTCCTGAGTTTTTTTTATTTTAGGTCTAGAGAGATGATATTGAAATAAGTCGAAATTCACGATTTTGCTCAGAAAAATGGCAACGTCGCAGCGTGTCAAAATTATCAGTAGGGGAGCATTGGGAGCATCGTGGCTACTAATTCCACACTCCGATTACAATTCAGGCATCTGTAACGTTAATTTATCGACAGGGAAAAATCATCAAAAACAGTCAAAAATTCGCTATTTTCATGCGTGAAAATGGCAACCGCGCGTCGGGTCAAAAGCATGGAAGGGGGGTCCAAAACTACACTAGGGTGTAGTTTATGAACTAATTTTGCCATCTGTTTAATTTGCAGACCCCTCCGACTTTATTTTTAGGGAGCGAAAAATTACTGAAAAACAGTAAAAATTCGCTATTTTTGCGGGGATAAATGGCAACTGCGTGTCGGGTTAATTTTGTCCGATTGACCCCAAATTTCATTTTCCGTGTTTTTGAACATGCTGTAACCGATTTAGGGGGTTACGGCTATAAATTTCCGAAATTCATTTTTTGTGGGCCACCCTAATTATTATCAGTTCATATTTTTGCTGCTTAAGGCTCATTAAAATGTGCTTATTATTGTTAAGTTTCACTGATAGTTAAGATTTTGATTGAGATCAGAAATTGTAGTTTCATGTCATCGATCTCGCGTTCTCGACTGAGCAACCACAATTGAAAATAGTGCACAATGTCAACAAAATATGGAGAATTTATCTTCTTTTAATACCTACTCTCATGCTGATCCATAAAAACCAACGAAGTGAGCGTAAACATCCCTGAACAGAAGAAAACAATCCACCGCTGCCAAGTATTTTTCCTTTCCACACCACGTGTAAGCTAAGCACTTGAAATTCCTCTGATACATGATACCTTTATCGATGGCCAAAGTGTGAAACCACGTTTCTCCGTCTGCAACATTGCATAGGTACTTCCTATTATATTACTTTATGTATATATTATTCTACCTCTCCTTCTCTATTGCTAATGATTGATATGTATCTTTATTTTATTTATAAATTTTTATAATTTTTTTTATTTTTATTTTATTTATCCAATTTTTATTTTTATTTATTTTTTTTATCTTTATTTTATTTTCATGCTTCTTTGGAAAAGTAGTTAACACATTTTCTTGATCTCTCTACTGTTAGCAGAATATTTGGTAAAAATTCCATGGTATGAAGATGGCTTGTTTCTCCTAAAAAAAAAAAAAAAAATAGATAAATAAATAAATAAATTAGGAGCGGACATTTAGGAACACCGCAATAGAGATACATGGTTTGCACTTTGGCCATTGACATTGTTGAGATCGACTCCGATTATGTACCGGTAACATCGATAGTTATCAATGTTAGAAACTTTCGAGTTAAAGCGAATTCACTAACAGTGGATTTTGTTGCCAAGGATGGCAACATGGACCGGAGATGGACGTGGATCAGGTAAGCAATGGGCGCTACGGTGATGCGGCCGCGGCCGGTGCAAAGGAAGAAAGAAGGTGCTTGAGATGGGCCGCCGCACAGTGGATCGAGTTAATGGCGGAGGTCGGACAAAATGTGGACACTTTAAACGCATATTACTCCGTTTATACGAAACGTTGAGGTTTTAAAAGTAGTTTTATTGGTTTCCTCGTCAAATTTTCCTCAAGAATCACCCCTCAAAGTTGAAAATGTGACAAAATAAACATAACAATTTGCAGTTTTAGTCGAAAATTTCATGTCCGACCTCTCGTATTGACTCGAACCAATGTGCGCCGGTGGTGGGCAGGGGGGTTGGGGGCGACGGCGCTTGGAGCAGGTGATGCTAGGCCCAAGAGGCAGGTGTGGACCGGGGCCCAAATCTTCAGGATCCTGCGCTGCCATTTAACCAGATATCCAGATTTACAGTGACCTTGATCTTAGGGTTGGAGAATCTCTTTATATACTACTGTGGTCTTCGTTGCAAATTGAATTGAGGAGCTTTCTGGGGAAGGGGCCCATGGCAAAAATCGCGGTTTGAGAAAAATTTATTTGAAACTGTCATTATTATTTTCTGGCTGCTGACGGTGATTTACATCGGAAGTTGGATGCTTACATCAAAGCTCATACTCCCTGGAATGAAAAACGACTCAAAACTTCAGAAACATTTGTATCAAAACGCGATTTTCAGTATGGGCTCTTTTTTCTGGAAAGCTCCTCCATTGTGGCAGTTCACCATGGGAACGAGCCAGTTGGAAGAAAATGCATTGATTTCTGGGAAGCTGATTTTTGTGGTCGATGTTAACGGTGGTTCTGGTCGTCTTTTTGTGCCTGCCTGTTTGTTTCTTTTTCTCTTTTTTTTGCAAGAAAATATGGAAACATTGCAAACGAGTCATGCGGTTTTGTATTTAAGCCATTGATTGTTCTTATAATTAGCTTTTTTTAATATTGCATGATAGGAATTAATAAAAAAAAAGAGTGCCTTAGATACTGAGTGATGCAACCAACTAATCGTAAATGACACTCATCTTTTTTACTCCCAGTCTTTTCTTTGATAATAATTTTGCGGAAGTTTTACACAATACAGAATGCGTCTCAGCCTTTCTAATCCTCAAGGATTTAGCTTCCAAACTTTATCTTGATGGTTTCTCCTAAATTATTTTAAGATAAATGGTCAGCTTGACAACGATGCATTTCGACCCGTGTCCCTATGTCTCTTGTCTCCTGTATCAAACAGCTAGTAGGAGCAAATCAGAGTGCATCAAAAACAGCTCTGGCATAAGATCAGATCTTTTTTTCTTCCTTTATATTTGTTATTTCAGTCTTTTCTGCGTGCAATGCGTGTAACTATATACCATCGCTTCCTAGTATACTTCCTTGCTGAGTAAAGGGGCCGTAAAAGCATTTGAGTGCTGCCAAATTCCTTCTTTAAAAGTATACTTATTTTCGAAGAAAGATTTGAACATTTTCCAGTGAAATTTTTAGACTTTACAGATCAAATTACGAACGTAATACTCTGAAAAGTAGGAGGGGAAATATTCACAAATTTTCCTGAAAATTCGTGACATGTCGAGGGAAATTTTGCAACACCTGATGGCTCATTCGGTGTTCTTACTTCATGGTCACCCACAAAGA